TTCCCTTACCAGTTTGTAGTTATGTTGTCTCTTGATGAGTCTTGGCCACTTTGTCTAAAAATAAGCTTACTACTGCTGCTTGCTTTTGCACTTACATTGCGCTGATTATCTTTGTTTTCTCTCTCTCTCTTTTTGTGGAACCGGGGATTGAACTCAGGCCCTTGCACTGGCCAGGGAAGTGCTTATTCCTCTGCACCATCTCCCCGGCTCCCAACACTGATTATCTTTTAATATCCTTTCACTTTCAATCTGTATGTTTCTTCATGGGTCAGGCGTAGTTCTTGGAGACAACATATGGTTAAATTTTGGTTTCCAATCCAATCTTCCAATCTGTGTCTTTTAATTGGGAGTTGAGGCCATTAACATTGGTGTTATTAGTGAAAGGTATTTGCTGAACCTTGTCATTGCATTATTTTTCCAATGCTGATTCCTTAGATAAGTTCTTTTGAGTTCTTTGGTGCTGCTGACCTCCCTGCCTCTGTCTAGGATTCTTTCAGGACCTTCTACAATGTTAGTTTGGTGATCTTTATTTTTTTAGGTTCTCTGTCATAGAAAGTCTCTATTTCTCCACCAATTTTGAAGAATACTTTTGTAGGATATCATACTCTAGATTTTGGGGGATTTTTTTTGAAACAGGGTTTCACTGTGTAGTCCTGGCTGGCCTTGAAATCACTGTATAGCTTAGGCTGTCTTCAAACTCACAGTGATCCCCCTGCCTCAGTCTCCTGAGTCCTGAGATTATAGGCATATATCACCACACCCTCTCTTGCTTCCTCTCCCCCACCACTTTTTTTCAGTACTGGGGATTGAACTCAAGACCTTGCACTTGGCAGGCAAGTGCCTATTCTACTGAGCCATCTCCCCAGCCCCACACCCTCTTTTGGATTGGCAATTTTTAGAGCTTGAAAATTTTTACTGCAAGCTCTCCTGGCCTCTAAGACTAGTATAGAGAAGTCTGCTGTTGGTCTGGTAAACTTGCCTTTGTAGGTCACTTGGTGTTTTTCTCTATGAGCTTTTATTCTTTTTTGGTACTGAATTTCTTGGATTTGACTACGATATGCTGTAGGGAGGTTATTTTCTGGCCATGGCTGTTTGAAGTTCTGCACGCCACGCTTACCTGGACATTGCACTTCTTACTATGTTTGGAGCAGTTTTGCTGCGATCTCATTCAATAATATTTTTCAGTGTTGTCGTCTAACCCTAGCTCGTCATTCTTAGGCTTATTTTTTTCTTTTCATCATCTAGCAGCTGCTGAATCCTGCTTCCACATCTTACTGTTTTTAGCATATTGTTGAGTACATGATTTGGTTGGATCTTGTTAAAAAAATAATTCTGCCACCAGATGTGTTGATGCATACTTGTCATCTAGCACTAGACCAGCTGAGGCAGGAGAACTGCTGTGAGTTCAAAGTCAGCCTGGGCTACAGAGTGAGTTCAAGGCCAGCCTGAACTGCATAGTGGAAGTTAAAAAAAAACCCACTAACTTTTCTAACCTGTTTATGTCTTCGTGGTGCAATTTATGTACACCATATGAATCAAAAAATTCATCATTTCTTCTAGATTTTCAAATTTTTCAGCTTATGGCTTCATAATAGCCCCCAGTGATCCTTTTGTATTTTTGTGTTATTGGTGGTAATAGCTCATTTTTTATCCCTAATTTTATTTATTGGGGTCTTCTCTCAGTTTTTTCCTGGTTAGTCTATCTAAGGTCTGCCAATTCTGTTTATGTCTCTAAAAACTAACACTGTTTTTCTTTTTTCCCCCTGTTTTTTTTTTCTGTTCTGGTGTTTGTTATTTCTTTTCTCTGCTAATTTTGGATTTAGCTTGTTCTTCCTTTTATAGAACCTTGCACTACACTTTTAGGTCGTCAATTTTAATCTTTTATTTTTTTAATATCTAGGCCATTGATGGGAAACCTTTTAGAGTTTTCAGTGATACAGCCTGCTGTGACACAGGTGACAGAGGGTTTGCCACCACTGATAATGGGCTTTTACTGCCATAAACCATTAGTACTGCATTTTTCCATATATCATAAGTTTTAATATGTTTTGTTTTCATTCAGTATGTTTTGAGAAAATTTTAAATTTCCCTTTTGATTTCTTCAATGATCAAAAGTCTATTCAAAATCATGTGTTCAGCATCTCTGTATTTGCATCAGTTCTAAAGTTTCTCTTGTTGCTGACTCCTAATTTTAGTCCATTGTTCATTGTTTTTATGTATTTAGGACAGGGTCTCTAGGGTCTCACTACATACATTGGACTCGGAGTGATTCTCTTGTTTTCAGCCTCCCAAGCGCTGGGATTACAGGTGCACACCACCATGCCCAGGCTCAATCGCTGGTTCAGCATGCTCCAGGGGCAGGGCTGGCACAGCACACTGGGGATCGAACCCCAACCCCTACGTCTGCCTAGGCAGGCACTTTAATCCACTGAGCTATCCGGCCAGCCCCACAAGAGTCTTTTTTTATAACATCCTAGACTCTAGTATAGAAATCCCAAAAGAATAAAAAGAGGAAAAGGAAAAAACGGGGTGGGAAAGGTGCCAAAGATGACCTGCCTCTGGGACTTATACCAGCATCTGGTCATGGCAGTGGCAGGTGGGGAGCCACAGCGTGTGGGCGCCTGCCTCCTGTCCTGGAATTTGTGCCGACCCACAAAGAGCTTGCTATGTTCTTAACGGTGAGCTCCTTCATCTCCTGACACCGAAAAGCAGCACCTTCCACGGTGCTCGGCGCTGCCGTGCCCTCCTGTGGCACCTTCCACGGCACTTGGTGCTGCCGTGCCCTCCTGTGGCACCTTCCACGGTGCTTGGCATCACCCGCCCTCCT